GGGGAGGGGTTTGTGCCGGGCTGGGTTGGTCTCTCTGGTGTTTGGGCTGTTGAGAGCACAACACTTTAATTGCTGTTTGTGCAGCCTGAGACATTTGTGTTTCTCCTGCCGGCCTCTGCAGCAGCACTGGATGCTCCTGATGTAAAACACAGAATCATGGAATTTTAGGGTGCAAGGGAACTTAAAGCTCATCCAGTGCCACCCCCTGCCATGGGCAGGGACACCTTCCACTAGCCCAGGTTGCTCCAACCTGGCCTTGGACACTTGCAGGGATCCAGGGGCAGCCACAGCTTCTCTGGGCAACCTGTGCCAGGGCCTCCCCACGCTCACAGCCAAGAATTCCTTCCTTCTATCCAACCTAAATCTCCCCTCTTTCAGTCTGAAGCCATTCCCCTTGTCCTGTCACTCCAGTTCCTGATGAACAGTCCCCCTCTGTCCTCCCTGTAGCCCCTTCAGACCCTGGAAGGTGCTCTGAGGTCTCCACACAACCTTCTCTTCTCCAGCTCTCCCAGCCTGGCTCCACAGGGGAGGTGCTGCAGTCCCCTTACCAGGAAACAACCATGGACTTCTAGAAGTGTCTCTGTCTTTCCAAGGGGTCAAATCTCCTTTGGTCTGTAGGTCCCTCCACAGTGCCTGTCCCAAAGCTCCTCCAGCCAAACCTTCCTGCTGGGGGAGTCTTTCACCTCAGGATGGAGTGTTTCTGTCTCCTGTGTTCACCCTGCAGGGTGAGGAGTGACCTCCAGGGCTGTGCCACAGCAGTGCCATGGCCCTCATCCTGGGATCTGAGGGAATGGCTGCATATCAGCTGGTTTAGGCTGGAGCTCAGGAAAAGGTTCTTCCCCCAGGGGGTGGTTGGGTGCTGAACAGGCTCCCCAGGGCAGTTCAAACTTGCCAGAGCTCCAGGAGTGTTTGGACAACGCTCTCAGGGACAGGGTGGCATCGTTGGGGTGTCCTGGCAGGGCCAGGAGTTGGACTGGATGATCCTGTGGGTCCCTTCCAGCTCAGGAGATTCCAGGATTCTTTGCTGGAGCTGTCTGTTGTTGAGCTCTCATTGGCAGGTCCGTGGAGCTTCAGCAACATGGGATGTGCATCAGCCAACTCCAGAAAACTGATAAATCCATAAATAATGGTGGATTCATAAATAGGTGCATTCATCCCCCTCCACCACATTATCCAGAGTCTACGAAAGAGATAAGAAATAATTGTGTAAGACACGAGCTTCCTTTTTCTTCTTTAATCCTCAGCAAAAAGAACCCATTTGAAGATTTTGCTTGCTCTTTTTAGTTGCAGACTGTGATTTTGGGGATTTTTTTTTTAATTTCTTTTTTAATCACGATTCTATTGTGCTGTGGAGAATAAGGCTCCCAGGATGGGACTGGCAGGGTCCTGAGTGTCTGTGCTGGGTTGCACAGGCAGCCACGTGCAGACAAGGATGCCAAGGGGTTTGTGAGTAAATACACAAATTGCTGGTGGCATAATTTCTTGGAAATAAACCCAGCAAATTAAACTTGTTAAAGCAACTGCCTGAAATGTTTCCTGCCATTGAATTGTCAAAATAGAGAACTGCAAAGATCCTGGGCTCATTTACATGGCACCAAAGCAAAAATAATGGGAAAATAACGAGCGGTTATTGTGCCTGGCTCTCCCTATTCATTATCTGAAGTAAAGACATTTATCAATATGGAATTAAGTTGGTGAGATGTGCATGTGATGCAGTTACAGTGGTCAGTCAAAGCTGGGGAGATCTGAGGGATTTGAGGAACCCAGAAATAATCATTGGTGCAAGAAACCATGGGTGAGGAGGAGCACTCAGGGCTTCTGAAGGGTTGTAGTAAGGTCTTGGTCACTAAGAGGGGTGAGAGATGTGGTTTTGGGAGAGGAACAATGAGATTTGGTTCATGTGCTGGGCAAGTTATGTCCTAAAGGTGATATTCATGAGTGATGTCAAATGTCAGGGCTGTGGCTGCCTTGGGGACATTTGAGTGTCACTGGTGGGGCCTGGCAGATTTTGGGCATCCTGGTGACTCCAGGAGCCCTTCCCAAGCTGCTGCAGGGAGAAGGGAGACTGACCAAAGAGTGCCAAGTGCACGTGACCCAGACTGTGGGATCCCAGAACCACTGAGGTTGGAAAAGACCTCCAAGGACCGTCGAGTCCCCCCTGTGCCCGATGCCCACCCTGTCCCCCAGCCCAGAGCACTGAGTGCCACGACCAGGCCTTCCTTGGGCACCTCCAGGGGTGGGGACTCCCCTTCCAGTGCCTGACAGCCCCTTCCACGAGATATGTGTTGGATTGGAGGCCATCTCTTTGTGTAGAAGCCATGGAAAGACCTTCCTTAGGGGTGAAAATCGGGACACTGCTCTTCATCCCTCCCACCTTTGTGTGTGACCACAGAACCAACGGGGACTGCAGTGAACTGGAGCCACCACGGGCTGGCTCTGAAGGAAAGTTTAAGGGCCCTGCAGGTAGGTGAAGCTTCTGCTGTGCCTTGGCTTCCAGCAGGAATGGTTCCCCCCACCTTTAACCCCAGTTCCCCGGGGATTGCTGGAAGCTGGGAAGGCGATTCCGCGGGGCTGGGCAGGGTCGGAGCAGCAGTTCCCAGCCCTGCAGGGAGCTCTGACAGATGCTGTCAGTGGATCTGCCCATAAATAAATGTGTAATGGGGCTGCCTGCTACACTTCCACACCCTGAGGAGGGAATTGTGACACTCCTGTCCTTTTATCTCTCCCATCCCTCGGTGGCTGTGAAGGAGCCTCTGACCCGGGCTGCTCGTTTTTCTCGTTCTGCTGCAGCAGGAGCTGGTGCCTGTGCAGCTCTGGGGCTCTGGTAGGAAGGGGGAGGAGAGAAGCAGGCGTTTTGTTGAAGTTCTTAATTGCAGGCACAGCAGGATTATGGAAATGTCGAGGGGGGAGTGACAGGGCAGAGCTGCCAAGCACGTGGGAGTTGTTGTTGATTCACTGCTCTCTTTTCCCTGGTCGGTGGGTGGGTGACGAGTCAAAGGGATCTCGTGGGCTCCTGACCAGTCCACCCCTGTGTCAGACTGGGCTGTGTTTAGCAGCCCTTGCTCAAGGCAGGCCCAGAATTAGCCAAAAATAACACAGCTGGCTTGTGCCAGAGGAGCTGGGAGGAGTGGCACAGTCACAGAATCCCAGGATATGCTGAATTGGAAGGACCCACAAGGATCATCCAGTCCAACCCCCAGCCCTGCACAGGCCCATCCCCAAGAGTCATCCCCTGTGCCCCAGAGGACCATCCAAACCCTCCTGGAGCTCTGGCAGCCTTGGGGCTGTGTCAGGAGAACCCAGGAGGAGACTGACTCCGACAGTCCAAATCTCTGCCTTGCTGGGATTTAGAGGATGTTGCTGTTCCATTCCTTCTTTTCCAGTTTGGCTTTGGCACAGGGTTTCATTCCTCATGTCAGGAACTGAGATCCTGTCTTCCCTAGACCTTGGGAACCTCTGCACCCCTGAGCTCTCCTCTCTGAAGAGGGGGCAGGTGGGTCCTGCTGCTGCCACCCAGGTACCAGGGTGGAACAAGTGGCATGTGTTGGATTCAAGCTTGGAGCTGCTGCAGGGATGGGATTTTCCATGAGCCCTCAGGGCTGCTCCTGTCAAAGCTTCCCATGCCCCAAGGGTTTGCCTCAAAGCAGATCCCATGGTTTCATTCATCCTGCATGTCCTGCTCGGTGTCCCGGTGGCTTTCCCAGTTGCCTGCCAGCACTGAAAGATGGGAAAATGAAGTCCAAGTTGACACACAGAGGTTTCTCATCCCCTCCCAAAGTGAGGAGTTGTCTCCAGGTGGTCTGTCAGCTTGGCTGGGAAAGCTGCAGGGAGAAGCAGGAATGATGGTCCAAAGTAGCAGCTTCATCCCAGTCAGTACAGGAAGATCCCGGTCCTGGCTGAGCTGGGGGACTGAGAGCTGCAAGGGAAGTGGCTCCTGGTGTGAAGGATGGTGCTGTCCCACTGATCTGGACCAGGGCACCCACTAACCAGGGGGTGTGCACCCAAAAATCCTCATTTCTGTGCTCTCAGTGATTTAAACATGTCCAGTGCACGTTGGATTCCGTGGGAAGCGCTGAGATGGTTTCATTCCTGTGATGTTTTCCCAGCCAGGTGGTCCCCAGAGAGCTGCCAGACGTTCCCCTGCCAGCCTGAACAGCAGGTGTCAGGCCTGGCAGGGGGGTGGGAGAGGCTGCTCAGTTCACAGACACATCTTTAAAGTGTTTTGGGGACCAGAAAGGAGAAGGTGGAGCCCAAAAAGCTCCCAGAGAGACATGGAGGAAAAGCCAGTGAGGGTCAAAATGGGTGGCTGGTAGCAGAGGAGAAGAGGGAGATGACAAGAGAGGGGGATTGGCAGAGGATTAGACTGTTCTCAAAGTGCAGCTCAACCTGTTGGAAGAATCCAGAGGAGGCCCCAAGGTGGTCAGAGGGCTAGAGCAGCTCTGCTGGGAGGAAAGGCTGGAGAGCTGGGATTGTTCACCCTGGAGAGGAGAAGCTCTGGGGAGAACTAAAGGGACCTAAAGGGTCTACAAGAAAGATGAGGGGAGGCTATTGACAAGGGCCTGGAGTGACAGGACTAGGGGAATGACTTCCCACTTCCAGAGGGCAGAGGTAGATGGGATATTGGGAAGAAATTCCTGGCTTTGAGGGTGGGGAGGCCCTGGCACAGGTTGCCCAGAGAAGCTGTGGCTGCCCCTGGATCCCTGGAAGTGTCCAAGGCCAGGCTGGATGGGGCTTGGAGCCACCTGGGCTAGTGGGAGGTGTCCCTGCCCATGGCAGGGGGTGGCACTGGATGGGCTTTAAGGTCCCTTCCAACCCAAACATTCCATGATTCTGTGACATATTGGGATGGTGCCAAACACTTGTAGAACACAGAGAGCTGTGACCTGCCGTGCTGCTGCTGTGCTGGCTCCTTTCTAACCCTGTCCCCTCCTCAGGAAGGCCCTGCTGCCTGCTTTGATTATTCCATCACTTCATTCTGATCCCTCAGAGCTCCTGTTCCTCCTTAGGCTTCTCTGCCTTTGCAGCCTGAGCAATTTGGGGGTGTGTTTGCTTTAACCTTTGGGAGTCCCACAGAAACCATCTCAAGATTGTCCTTCCATGGCTGGGCAGGGCAGGAATGTGGCCAGTGTGGGCACTGGGGAGCTGTGCTGTGACCTGGGGAGGAGCTGGGGAACATGAAAGGGGGTTTGTGCCTGATTCCCAGATATTTTACAGGCATTTATATTTTATTTTATTTATTTTTTTTAGTCTATACCTGCCTGGATCCCAAGTAAAGCTGCAGTGGAAGGGATAAGACTGAAGGAGACCCCACCCAAAGTTCTGTGTAAGGTTTATTTGCAACACCAGACTCCAGGCACCCAGAACAGGACCTTTTGGTGTCAGGGTGATGCTCTGCCTGGAAATGGGGCAGGGACAGGCTCTGTCTGAGGCCCAGGAGGTGCCTCGAGGTCACAGCTGGAGGGAATGAAACCCTTTCCCAGTAGTGTCACCGGAATTAGGCAGAGCCCCTAAACACGGAGTGTTCAGGCTCTGCCCTTGCTCATTCCCAGAGCTGTAGCAGAAGGAGGCTGTTCATGCTTTTGGGGCTGTTCTGCTGCCTTGTTCCTTGCTAGAAGGTGTTCTGCTTTCCTGGGGTATTCGAGGGAGTTTGTGACATTTTGAGCTGAATTTGCTTTTTCAGCAACAAAGGTGGTTCCAGGCAATAGTCCCACAAGCAGCAGAACTCCTGAGCCACTGGATTTGTGTCCCACTTTCCCAGCCTCTGCCTCTCCCATCATCACACTGGCTCTTCCCACAGAGCCCCTGTGCTCCTGTCCCCTTGCTCCACACCCTGGAACTCCTTGGCTGGTGGTTCCCATGTGGCTTCTTGCCAGGCAGAGCAGGAGTTCCCTCAGCTCAACGACAGCCAAGGCTCTCCTTTGGCTCTGTCTCTTCCCCGTCCCCACCATATTTTTTCCCCAGGATTTCTCAGTATTTAATTATCTCTCAGCCTTCTGTCAGTCTGGGGGAAATTTAAGTTCCTGGAGGTAGGAATCTGCTGCTCAGATGGACAAGCAGTTGTACAGACAGCAGGAAAGGAGTTTCTGCAGGATAAATTCCTTTCCTGGGAAGCCTGGATGGTGTCCTCTGTCCCTCTGACCTGCATGGGAAGCCAGGTACTGCTGTGCTGCTGGGGCTGTGGGTTAGAGAGGAAAAGCCAAGGAATAAACAGGAACAAAGCAGGGAACTGAGCGGTGTCAGCAGGGCACGAGGGCAGCAGACACCCCTGAGAGGAATAATGGATGTTTGGGACACTCTGAGCAGTTGTTTGGTGTTGAAGGAGGCATCCCTGGGTTTCCCAGAGAAGCTGTCCCACTGGGATTGCTTCCCTCAGGGCAGGGCATGCCCTTCCCATAGGATTCAGATGATCAACTGTCTGCAGGAGCTCAGATAAAGCCACTGAGGGCTCAGCCAGCTGGGAATGGGGGAATCATGGAATCATGGGATGGTTTGGGTTGGGAGGGACCCCTTGGGCAGGGGCACCTCCAGGTTATGTGTTTGCCCTGTGGAATGCTCTTGCTGGATGTGATCAGCAGTCAGAGCAGGATTTTCCCCCTCACTGTGCCTCTGCAATCTCCAGCTCCTCACACCATTTTCCCAACCCAAGCACCAAATGTTCCACCTCTTCTACCCTCCCTGAGTGGAGCTGCAGCCTTTGCACTGCCCTGTGACCCGTGGGGCAGGAGCAAGGGAGTGAAATCCAATTTGTGGCCTTTCAGTACTTAAAGGGAGTTTATAAAAAAGAGGCAGAGTGACCTTTTCCACAGGCAGATAGTGGCAGGGCAAGGAGGAATGGTTTTAAACTAAAAGAGGAGAGATTTAGATTGGATATTGGGAAGAAATCCTTGGCTGTGAGGGTGGGGAGGCCCTGGCACAGGTTGCCCAGAGAAGCTGTGGCTGCCCCTGGATCCCTGGAAGTGTCCAAGGCCAGGTTGGACAGGGCTTGGAGCAACCTGGGCTAGTGGAAGGTGTCCCTGCCCATGGCAGGGGGTGGAGTGAAATGGTTCTTTCCAACCCAATCCATTCTGGGATTCTAAAACTCCTTTGCCTCAGGGAGAAGTTCAGCAGCCCAGGGGACATTTCACCTCAGAGCAGGATGGAAACCAGCCCTCAGTGCCCCCCTGAGCCAGCCCAGGGAGGACAGGGCAGCCCTCCCGGGGGAATTCCATGGATCTTTGTAAAACAACATGGGAATGTGGAAGAGGGCAATGAAAGCAGAGTCACCAAGGCTCAGCTTAGCAAAAGAAAAGCCTGTGTTTAATTGCTTTGCTGAATCAGGGCCCAAAAGCAGCTCTGTCTCCATCACTGGATGGCCAGGATGGTGATGCCAGCTGGGATGGAGGTACCTCCAAAGGGTTGGGAGTGTGTGTGGCAGCTCCAGAGCCCTCAGACAGGTGTGCTGAGCACAACCAAGCCCATTTCAGTCCAGCTCAGGTTTGGCCACTGTGTGATTGTGCCTCTGAATGTGACCCAACTCACTGAGGGAGAAACTGGGAGAGCCCCACGGAAGGGCCTGTGTGGTGCTGGGAGTGTCCACTCACCAGCAGCACCTTGAAATTCATCCCAATAAATTTTTTTTTTACCCCACTTTATTTTACCTTTCTTTTACCCCAATTTATCACTGGGCTGTTGTCACTCCCCATTCAGTGCCCAGGGGGGACCCAGCACAGAGCTCTGCAGAACTTGTGTGGCTTCAGGAGCCAGGGAATGATGGATGTCTGTATCCATGGAATGATAGATGTCTGCATCCAGGGGTGAGGATAATCCAGTTGTACAGCCTAGCTGGATTTCAGCTGCTCTCTGGAAAAAAAAAAAAAGAAAAAAAAGGAGTAGAGGAGTGAAATATTTACTTTTGGGACTTTCACCAGTGGAGATGACAGAGTGTGGGGAAAGAAAAGAGAGGCCTGGTGGGCAAGGGTTGGAGGGGAGAAGAAGTAGGGAAAAAAAACTCATCTCTTTGCTGGTAGAAAAGGGGCACAAAGGGGCTTGGCAAGAAAAGAGCCATTCTTTTGATTTCTCAGAGGCCCAAAATGAAGGCAGCATGTTCAATGAACATAACTCCACGTTGTCAGTGCAGTCAGGGATGTTTATGCCAGCCAGTCAATCTGACCCAGAGCTCTGATTAAAAAAAATCAGCCAGCCCCAAATGTTCCAATAAAAAAGAGGTTATGAAAAAAAAAAAAAAAACCACAACACTTGTGCTTTGGTTAAAGAGCACCCAGCTCTGGAGTAATTTATTACAGCTGAAAGGATTAAATGTCATCAGGGAAACCAAAAAGAAAATGAATCTGTAATTAAATGTTTAGCCCAGCCAAGACAGTGTGGCACTGCCAGGCTGAATAATGTATAGAGGAAACATCCCCAGCTCTGTGCTTTACTTTCCATTTTTTCATTAACTGAATCTATATTAATGCAGAACAAGAGAGTTGAGTGATTTTCAACATACTCTGGATTTGTTGGTGTTTTGATGATACCAGGACTCAAAGGCTTCAGCTGAGATCAGTGCCAGCCTGTGCTTGGAGTTATCCAGACATGGGCAGGATCTGATACCTGCCAGGGAGAGCAAACAGCACAGCCAGGGAAAACAAGCAGGGAAAAGTCTCCCAACCCCTGACCCGGGAGAACTGGGGCTGGAAATGCTTGTCCAGGGCATCCTCCTCTTCACCAAGCCCTGCCCTGGCACAGCTGGGGCTGGAAATCCCTGTTTGGGGCATTCTCTTCTTTACCAACTTCTGCCCTGGCACAGCTGGGGCTGGAAATCTTCTTTCCTGGCCTTGTGTCTGGGAATCTGCCCAGACTTGGGAACAGACTTGAGCCCTCTCTCCTAACTCCTGTTCCTAAGATGGGGATTGGCTGGGGAACAAAGAACCAAATCCATGACATTCTTTGGCTTTGGGCACATTGAAGGAGATGAGAAATGATCAAATTCAGCTTATAATGCAGAGCAATCAAAATGGTGCAAAAAGGTCATTTCACTTCACTTGATTGTATGTTATGATTCTGGGAAGACTTTTTTTTTTTACCCAAATATGGAGACTCGGTGCCAACAATCTTAAGTCTAATCAAACTTACCCATTAGTAGAGACATTCTCATTGACAATTGTCAATTAACCTCAAGGTTAGAAATTCAGGATAACCTGAACCATTGCTTAAGTTCATGTCAGAGTCAAAATAATAGTGTGTAATATTAAAATAAACCTCCAGCAGGTTTTCCATGTGTGCAGAGAGCTGGGTGTCAAACCTCCAGTGGACCTGCTGCATCTTTTTCAAGTCTTTTTCCAAATATTTCGTACATTTTTTTGCAGTTAAATATCATTAACCTTCAGAGCTGTCTGTCCTACGTACACCAGTGGAGGCACAGTAACTGGTTCTGTCAGAGCATTGATCCTCCTGTCTCCAAATCAGTGATTTTTTTTCTGCCTCTCCCCCCCAGCTGGGATCATGTTCTTGTGGTCTCAGACCTTGCAAGGATTTCAGGTTTACCTGCTCTTTTATTTTGCTTCTGTTGCAGTTAGAAAGCACAGGCTTGGCTTTGGGGATCAGGCTCCAGGGGTGCCTCGAGGTCAGGAAGGGATTTTAGTTTGTCTCCCTTTCCTTTTCCACAGGGACAGCTAAAGATGCAGGATAAATGTTAAATATCACAGAAGGTCATTGGAGAGCTGAGACTTCAATCCCCATTTTCTAGGGCACAACAGGAGCTCCTTCTCTGGGCACTTCCCCAGTGCAAGAAATGCAGCCACAGGGAATTTTCCCTCTGGAGCAGAGGGGGAGGCCTCACTGCTGTGCTGGGCTGTGCTCTGGGGTCACTGAGTCCCTGATTCCAGGCTCCCTGTGCTGTGGGGGTCCCTCAGGACAGCACAGGGGTGCTGGGGGGAGTTACAGGCACCAAACCAGCCTGGGTCAGTCACTGCTGCCCCAAACTGCTGCTGTGGGATTGTCCTCCTCTGCTCCAGCCGCTTCCTGCTGTGGCAATTCCAGGATTATTCTTCTCCACACTCAAGGCAGCTGTGCCAGGAGCCCCCCAGTACCTCCTTAGGTCTCTGAAGTGCCCTCTGCCCCTTACCAAGGAGCACTGTGAGCAGAGAACAGCCCGAGGTGACACTGCAGACCCCCTGTGCTGGGCTGTGCTTTGGGGAACCTGCAGCTTTTACCCCCCCCAGAGGGGCAGGAGAAGTTCTTTCTTGTTCTGCTGAGCCTGTCACTGACTTCAGTATCACCAAGTCACAGAAGGGACCCACCAGACATCCAGTCCAGCTCCTGGCCCTGCCCAGGACACG